TTCGATGTTTTTTAGTTGCTCATGTAATTGCCGTTGAAATGACGAGCAGTACAACTTTTCTACAACCCATGGATGTTAAGATTTGTTTTGTGAGAAAAGAAAGAATTACTAGTAGTCGCGAGTATCATAAGTAATTTTTGTGGCATTAACAATCACGGTTAACAATCACATGTAGTTGTGATAGTACGTAGTAGTTAGTTGTTTGTAGTAGTAGATGCCATTGATTAAGTAACACTATTTAACCACAAGAGCTTTCTCGTGCCAAACATTTACAGACTTGTAGTTGTTGTAATTGTAACAGTATTTGTAGCAGAAGTAAGAGTTTTGACTGCAGTTGCAGTAATGGTGGTAACAGTATTGGCTGCAGCTGTGGTAATAGTGATAGTGTCGACAAAAGTAGTAGTAATAGTAGTAGTAAAAGTAGTAGTAGTAGTAGTAGTAGTAGTAGTAGTAGTAGTAGTAGTAGTAGTAGTAGTAGTAGTAGTAGTAGTAGTAGTAGACATAGCAATGAGATTGTTATTTATCGTCAGAAATGTTGTACTTGTCACATGCCCACGTCATATAGATATTTCTCATTGGCATGCAACTGGAGATGATTATTATACACAGATGCCTATAACACGTGCACACGTACGTACATACGCACGTAAAACATGCATACACACACTCATATACATACATACACGTACATAAATACACATACTCATATTCACACATACACATACTCATACATATATATATATATATATACATATATATATATATATATATATATATATATATATATATATGCAGACATGCATATATTCGCACATACAAAAACGTACAGAATGAAACAAATGCGCACATACTTATAAACAAATGCAAATAGGAAACCGCCTGACCGTAAAATATTATGAATGTAAATATAGACAAACATACAAGCAAGGGAATAAACATGAAAATGGATGTGTGTGTGTGTCTGTGTATCTGTGTGTGGATGTATATATGCGTGTGGATGTGTGTGTGTGTGCGCGCGTGTGGATGTGTGTGTGTGTGTGCCCGTTTCATTTCGTGTCGAACATGTACCTCTGTAGAATACAAATTGTGGGGATTACAGCACACTTCTATTAATATCATTTTCAGCCAACGCAATTGCATCAATTGTTTGTAACAACAACAACAACATCAACAATAAAAGCGCTGATACATTAACATCAATAACAATGGCGATGACATTAATACAATGCAACATTATTAACGTCACCGAGAAATCTACCATAAAGGACAAATGACATCAAAAGAGTCTTTGTAGTTTGTCATCAAATGAAGAGAAGCTTATGCAAGCTTAAGGAAAAGATTTATCCATTTTTAAATAAATTTCAGGTTTGATATATTAAATCAAAATTTTATTTTATATTATTTAAAAACAAAAGCAAGCAAGCACATCAACAAAATGAAAATGACACTAAAAAGAAACATCACTTCATGACATCATAACATCGCAACATCAACTAAAAATAGCTAAAAATATTGTACTACAATAACAACAACATCATCAACAACAACAACAACAACCTCTGCTACTTGTTTAGTTTCCTAATGAAATTTCGTTAAATACCTAGCCCAGCATTCATGTGCTCATCCAATCAACAAACATTAACAGATGCAAACACACACGCACACACACACACCACACTCAGACACACACACATACACATACAAAACAATATATCTGGATACAAACACATTCAAAACTCATATTACGAACCTGGGCATACAAACCTACAAACACACACAAACATACTTATACATACAAAAACACAAATGTTTATATACACACACAATTCAAATACACACAAAAAAACATACAAATTTGTATTCAAAAGCAAGGTGTAGATGCATTAATATGGAGGCATAAGCTTTTAAATATTGAATACATACTTACTGTGCTACGCACATCTAACCTCATGTATATTTCAACTCTCATCTTATTTTATACTCAATCGATACTGTCACATGCACGCACGCACACACGCACGCACACACACACACACACTTAGACCCGGAAACAAAACACAGTACCTACTGTACGTACTCACATACTTAAGAATGTGACAATTTTTCCTCAGATACACACATACCAACACACTCACATACCCACATGCATACATATTCAAAACACATACACAGACGCCATGCGTTTTAAATAGACAGACACACATACACACACACACACACACACACATATTTACCTATATAAATACACATACGCAGACGTACACACACATACTCATACTCGTACATATACGAGTACCGAATTTTTGGCAATGTAATAGGCAACGCGCGCATGCAACGTGCAATTGAAAAGAAATTTTACTGTGCGGTGGATGTTGAAATGAGAGTTTATTGCTACTTTTGTTGCTACTACTGCTGCTGTTGTTGCTGTTGTTGTTTTATTTTGTTGATGTTGTTGTTTATGTTGTTGTTGATGTTGTTGTTGTTGTTGTATGTTTTTTTTATCGTATGTGTTGAAAAAAATTAGTGTTATTGTGGTGTGATTATTTAGGCTAATGTTGCTATATTACGCTGTTGTTATTGTAGTTGGTGGTTATCTATGTTATTGTTGATGTTATTTATAGTGTTGTTGTTTCTGTTGTTGTTGATGTTGTTGTTGTTTTATAAAAAAAATATGAAATGCTGTTGTTGGTGTTGTTGTTGGTGTTGTTGCTGATGTTCATGTTTTTGCTGTTTCAAACTTTTTTAGAGATACTTCACAGGCTAATAACCATCATCTACTTTCTCTCCCATAGTTTCGACTGTAGATGATTATTCATTCTTTCAATTTTATGTCTAATTTTGAGAACCGAACCATCATTATTATAATTAAAATAGACATAAGATAAGTCAGTCTTGAAATAATTTTAAAAAAAACATAATTTTGTGTAATTTTAATTTTGTGTTCATTGCGTTTCATAATAAAGTATTTTGTTATTTTGAATACTCTTTAGTTCATAGCAATAATTGCAATAATTGCCATTCGGAGACTAAATTATACACTGGCGTTTTGTTGCGTGTGTGTGTGTGCGTGTGTGTGTGTATACGTATGTGTGTTCATGTGCGCGTGCATGTGTGTGTGTGTGTGCGTGTGTGTGTGCGTGTGCATGCATGTTGTTGTAAAGTTTTGAGAAAGTTTCTTCATAATTACTGCACTCGGTGTCATTGTTGTTAAGATGTTTCTTCTTTCTCTTTCTTTTATCTTTCTCTTTCTCTGTCTCTTTTTCTCTAGCTTAATCTCTTTCTTTCTCTTTATCTGCCTCACTCTCTCTATCTTACTTTCTCTCTTTTTTTCTCTCTCACTCTTTTTATTCTTATCTCTCTCGCTCTCTTTCTCGTTTGACGACGTCATTCCCTCCTTACCATCATTATTTTTACACACGAATATACTCCTTCTTATCTCAACACGCATCAACGCTTATTATGGATCGGTATAATAATAGAATCACAAAAAACCTTTTGCACTTACATAGATAAACTTTTATAAAAGTTAGAGAGAATGAGGGAAAGAGAGGGAAAGAGAGAGAGAGAGAGAGAGAGAGAGAGAGAGAAAGAGACATATACATTCATATATATATATATATATATATAATACACATTAATCTGTATGTAATATACATATATACTTACGTAATATATATATATTTATTTATTTTTATATATAATGTACATATATAGGGACATTTTTTTCTACATAGATAGCGACAAGCAAACACACACACACACACACAAACAAACACACACATACATATATATATATATATATTATTTTTATATAGTCATATTAATAATTATAATATGAACACGCTTCATTTTCCCATTGCATAACCATTTTGAATGTAGATTATTATCAGAGTAAAGTAACATATAACATATCATCACGTGCTTGTTGTGTGTCTGCACGTTAACGTGATGGATGTGTGTGCGTGTGTAAATTATATTTCTATATATATTCGGTTAATTATTTTGTTGTTGTTAATAGTTTAGTTATTAATTATAGTTGATGGATTAGAAATAATGATTTTTTTTTAATAAAAAAATTGTTTTATTTTATCAAAAACTTTGCACAATGGCGAAAGATCGTTCAAAATTGGTTAAATTGGTTTGGAATTATTAATAAAATTTATCGAAATAAATCCTTGCGATTGTTGTTTGTTACACACGCACACACACATATACATAAATATAACAAACATGCGCATACACACACGTACATACAAACATACATACAAACAAACATACTAACACGCACACATACATACATATATACAAACATACATACAAACAAACATACTAACACATACATTCATAATATATATATTTTTAAATTACATGGATAACAAATTGCATTAATTTGTATTGCTCCTACATGATGCACTTATATTATCTTCTCTCAGAAATAATGACCTATGTCATATCTGAGCAATTATTGTACTTTCTTGGACGAGGACAACAGCAGCAGCAACAACAACAACAACATCATCAACAACAACAACAGCATCAACAACAACAACATCAACAACAACAACATCGTAAACAACATCATCAACATCATCATCAACAACAACATCAGCAATAGCAGCAGCAGCAGCAACAACAACAACAATATTAATATTAAAGATAGAAATATTGACAACAGCTGGTACAGTTATATTAGAATCTACAAAAACAACAACAACAACAACACATCATTGCATCAACTACTCTTCCTCCACCAACAACATCAACATGAAGTTTTTCAAACGCACAGTAAAATGACAAACATGAAACTGTAAACAACAACAAACAAACAACACTATTTCATACGATGTAACGTTTAACAAAAACAATTTTTAAATTAACAACAACAAAAATAACAACAACAACATTGTCTTACCATCGTCATCGTCATTATTATGGATTTTTCTATCATCTACCAAGACAAACTTCTTACAACAGTATTATCCGATAACTTGCAACGACATATGTCTCAGCACAGCCACAACAACCACAATGGCTACAACAGCAACAACCTCCGCAACAACACTACCTCACTCTCCATCTTCACCTCAGCCCGTCACAACGACACGACGATCGCCACGACATCAACTACAGCGGCAGCCGCCAGCAGCAACAACAGTCACAACAGCAACGACTTCGCCTACCCTGATTGGCAATTAACATTTATATTTCTCATCTGCGGTCTCATCATCCTCATCACCATTCTCGGAAACATTCTCGTCTGCACAGCTGTCGCAATCGTCAGAAAGTTGAGGACACCGTCTAACTTGTTGATAGTCAGTCTAGCGGTCTCTGATCTACTAGTGGCGCTCTTGGTAATGCCGTTCGCATTGGTCTATGAGGCAAAAGGTTGCTGGATATTTGGGCAGACGGCTTGCGACGTGTGGACGTCTTTAGATGTTTTCTTATGTACGGCTTCTATCTTGAATTTGTGCGTAATAAGCGTTGATCGTTACTTCGTTATAACGAGACCGTTTCAGTATGCCATGAAGCGAACTCCTCTGAGGATGACTTGTATGATTGTCTTTGTCTGGCTGCTCTCTGCTTTAATAAGGTTTGTCTGTCTGTCTGTCTGTCTGTCTGTCTGTCTGTCTGTCAGTTGGTCTGTTTGAGTTTTTGTCTGGCTGGCTATTAGTTTGTTGTTTGTTGTTTCGTTCTATTATTTGTTGTCTTTGGTGGTGGTTCATATTTAAAAAAAATCAGGCAAAGAAGTAGTAGCAGTAGTAATAGCAAGATTAAAATTGTTTTTTAATCTAAGTTCATATAGTAGAGTTAGTGTTATTAGAATCATTAATGGCAATCAGTAGCAGTCAGTAGTAGTCAGAAGGAGTAGTAGCGGCAGTAGCAGTAGTAGCAGCAATGGTAATGAAATGGTAGTAGTAATGACAAGTGAAAATAATAGTAACAATACTAGCATTTGGATTTCTTAAAGAACATTTGTACAGTAAGACTGATGTCTCTGAATTTTTAATCTGTGAGATTTGTTCGTTTTCATGCACATCTATGTATGTATGCATGTACTTATGTGTGTGAGAATGTATGCATGTGTATGTATGTATGCATGTGTGTGTGTATGTATGTATGTGCATGTGTGCGTGTGTCTGTCTGTGTGTGTCTGTGTGTATGTGTGTGTGTGTAGCAGGTGTGCAGTGCGTGAGAGTATGAAATGATCTCATGCAAAGCAGTGAGTTCGATGCGAGGGATGTTGTGTGACCGTTAAAACAATAATTTTTATAAATTTTTTTTTAATTAGCAAATATCAATTATCAAACGTTTAAACTAATTGTTTATTTCACACACACACAAACGCGCGCACGTAACATACACGCACACACATACTCGAACACTTCCACACTTCCACACACACACACACACACACACACACACACACACATACATACACGCACACTTTCACACACACATACACTTCCACACATACACGCACACTTCCACACACACACAAACATTTCATACTGAATACTAGAGGTGAGCATGGTAACGTGAATCTCGAGAATCCCATGATGACACATAATTTTTTGGAATGGGAATTTTTGGGAATAGGGAATTCTAATTTTCAATCACTTTCGAAGTTCAGAGCGAATCTCAAGACTAGAGGTGAGCGTGGGAACGTCCACACAGATGTAAATCTGCATTTTTTTTAATTTTCAAAAATTTTTGAAATGGAAAAATGGAAAACAAAAAGGGGAATGGAAGGGAAAACGCGAGAATGAGTTAAAAAATAGGAAATGGAAATCTTTGGGAGCGTTGTCGTAAATGGGGATTCGGGAAAAAATCGGAAATGAGAAAAAAATAAGATGGAAATTTGAAACAAATTTTAATTCCGCCCACCTCTACTGTATACAAGCTCTTGTTTTATATATATAGGCCAGGGGTAGAAATCATTATCCACCTAGCCAGAAGTTAACTTTTAAATATTTTCCTTTAGAGATTTTTGCCAAGTTGATTTTTTTTCTAAAAGATCTTAAATTTTTTTAGTTTTTTGTTTTTCGTTCTTTTTAAACAGAACACTTTAAAAGTCATTACACCTTTGCATGTTTTTAATTTAGAAAAATAATGTTCTTCATGATTATGAGTGAGGACAAAAATATACTGACATACAAACATACACACAAACATACATACACACATACATACACACATATATACATACATACATACATGCATAAATTCACACACATACATACATACACACAAACATACATACATACATACACACATACAAACAAATACATACATACATACACAAAATGTTGTCGGTTATTCGTGGAACTATCTAGAGGGGGTGATATTATGATTCTCACGTGTATAAAACAACGCATGAACTAGTATGCTTGTCTTTGTAATACCAAGTCACCATTAGAAATATCCAAATACACAATTCATATTTGTAAAAATAATAATATACAATAAAATACAACGCCATAACAAAACATTCCAGCCAGGTACAGAAATACACAAAAACTCGACAAAAATCGACATACAAAAACACGCCAATACGCTGCTATATATACGCAAATAAATACAAATACCCCGAGACATACACAGTGAAGATAATACGCGAGAAACATGCATACGTAGATACGTAAGTAAGTAGGCACGATGACGCTAGCCCCTAAATAAGAAGTTACATTATGCAGTGTTGTTGAGAGTTATGTTAGGTTAGTAGCTGGGCAGGTCTTAACATGTCAATCATATTAATATACATACCTATTCACATATATTATATACATAGATACACTTAAATATACCCACAGAAACAAGTTCACATATATTATATACGAAGATACACTTAAATATACCCACAGTTACAAGTTCACATATATTATATACGCAGATACACTTAAATATACCCACAGATACAAGTTCACATATATTATATACGCAGATACACTTAAATATACCCACAGATACAAGTATATAGACATGTGAAGATAAAAATATAAACGTTTGTATGCACGTGTTTGTTTGCTGTCAGGCTTAAGAATACATCTGTTTATACTTTATGCCCGCTTGCTTGTATGCGTTTGTATGTTTTGAGTTTGTACGTTTGTTTGTATGCTTTTGTGAAGACGCAACTGTGTTTGTTTGTGTGGTATGTTCAGATGTTGGCGTGTGTGTGTGTGTGTGTTTGCGTGCGTATGTGTTTGCGTGTGTGTGCGTGCGTGTGTGTGTGTTTGAAAGAAGTTTGTTATATTGGCGCGGTGCTGCAATAAATATTGTTTTAAGAAAGTGTTGACTGGAAGAAAATAGCATACCTACCAACGTATGTTTAACTTGTTGTTTCATTGTCTCTCTCTCTCTCTCTCTCTCTCTCTCTCTCTTCCTTTCCCTCTCCCTCCCTCTCTTTTTCTCTTTTTTCTCTCTTTTTCTCTGAATTGCCGAATGGCTGTTTGTTTGCTTGTGTGTGTGCCTGTGTGTTTGGTTGGATGGTTAAATGATTGGCTGATTGATTTGATTTTGGCTGATTGGCTAGCTTAATTTGGCACTAGTTGTTCAGTCACTTAGTAAAAAAGGCTGATTGATTGATGGATGGTGTAGAAACAAACAATGCAGTTAACAAGCATTTGATTGAATGAATGAATGAATAAATGAATTAATGAACGAGCAAACGAACAAATGAATGAACGAACAAGCGAACGAAAGAATGAATGTATGAATGAGTGAGTGAATGATTGAATAAAAAGAATGAATGAATGAAAAGTCAAACATCCAGTTAATCTATTATTTGAACAATGAACGAACAAGTACGTGAAAGAAAATCAGAATATATTTGTATAAGTGATAATAAGTACTAAATTAAATAAACGAACGAATGAATGTATGAATGAGTAAATGAATGAACGAATGAATGAATGAATAAATGAACGAATAAATAAATGAATGAATGATACATCATCACCATCATTATTATAGTTATCATTATTATACACCATATCATTTTTTTCAACTTTGACATGACAAAGCCATTTAGAATTCTTTTTTTTTCGTCAAACTAATAGTTGAACGCGATTTTAAAATCTTGGAATAAAATTGTTTTGAAAAAATTTGCTATCAATCAAGAAAAACGAAGAATCATAAATTTTTCTTTGTTGTTGTTGTTATCTTATTTATAAACCAATGGGTGGATGGAAGGAGTGTCAAATAATCCGCCATTCCATCGTGCGTGAAGATGAATGGACAAGATGGATAAACGAATGAATGATGGATAGATTGACGGAGAAAGGAATGAATTGATGTAGAAGTGAATGGATGAATAATAGATTGCTGAATGAATGAATGGTTAGATGGATGGATGTTGTGTGATTGAATGTTTGAAGAAAATGATGAAAAAATTTATGAATCATAAAATTAATAAAATAATTAATAAATAATATTATTAACTGATAAGATTCACAATAAATAAATCACCCAGCAAATAAAAAATTTTTCAAGAACCGAATCGAAGATTTTTTTCTGAATGACAAATCAACTGGATAAACACTTTTAAAAATTCCTACAAATCCCTTGCATTTGTTTAAAAACAAAATAAAGAAATATTTATTGAAAAAAAGTACAATTTTCATTTAATTAGAATCATGTAAATTGTACATTATGTTAATTTTGTCATGAATTATAATAAATTTACTTAAAAATTGTGTTAGAATGAACAATTTGTGAACGGTGGCCTGCAACACAAGAATTTTGTTTTCTTTTAGCTTTGGTCTCCTAATCATTACCTAATTATTATTAATTTGGATTGATTGAATAAAATTTGATTTGATTTGAAAAAGAAAACTAAATAAACTAATACAGATCCAAAACTGTGTGTATACTAATTTTATTGAAGATTCAACAGAAAAAAAAATTGTGTCACATCAAATTTTTGAAATTTGAACTAGTACTAAGTTGATTTCATTTGACGGACAGGTTATTCATTTGATACGTCTGGCTTTAATTTACTAAACTAGGTCACTATCATTATATTTCAATCATTAATTTTAAAATTGAAACTACATACATATCGCCAGGCAGATGATGATCGAGTGGAGAAAGATTTTTTTTAAATAAGTCATTTAGATGCCGTGGATGAATATGCTTGATTAATTTTTGTGTATTAAATAGTGTGTAGAAATTAGATAGATCGCATGTTTGTAGCAATTGAATTGATCAATTAATGGATGACAAATGGCTATTTTGAAACATTGGTATCTATGTTTTGTTGACATATGCGAATGACTATAACGTCTTTAATAAAATTCATAGACTAAAAACATTACATCTTGGCAAATAAAAAATTGATCCATGGACAAAAATCTTGAAAAGTAATTTTTTGAAACATGTTAAACGATGCTATCTTTCCATAAAAATCCCATCAAAACGCAGCATCCCACCGATGTTTGGCTGGAAGGAGGACCCGAAAAAGGACCACTGCAACATCACCCAGAACATCGGCTACCAGTTCTACGCCACCATCGGGGCATTCTACCTACCCCTGCTCGTCATGGTCACCATCTACTACCGCATTTATCGAGTTTCCTCAAGAATCGCAGAAGCAGAGGCCAGATCGAAGCCGAACAACTGCCAACTACAACAGCCACACCAGTCACACAGTAATTCTCTCGTAGCCGCGTCACTATCGACCGCAATGACGTCTCAGCAGCAGACGAAGCCACTGCTGCAGTCGAAATGTACTCTGTCAAAAAAACGAAAAAAGATGAGGTGTTTAGATGGATCGGTCAGCGAGTCGACCAATGTGAGTCGGTGGTCGGCCACTCACAGTCGACTGCAGAAAGTGAAGTTGCTGCAGAGGTTTTACGTGGCGAACGGATGCGCCACAAGCAATCTGCAAGTCATATCGCTGAAAACTGACCAGCAACAACAGCAAACCCAAAATTTTCAACAACTGCAACAATCAACCTCATCGAACAACGACAGAAAAATGCAAAACCATCAGTATCAGCAACAGCACCATCAACAACAACAGCAGCAGCATCATCAACTGCTACAACAACAATCGCAAACGCAGTCGCCAGCATACAAACAATTCACGAAAAGAATATCGCAGTCACTAACTCCATCGAGACAGCAATCGCAATCACAGCAATCTCAACAATCATCTAACTTATCGAAGGAGTGCAAAGCTACGAAGACCCTGGGTGTCATCATGGGCACTTTTATCGCGTGTTGGCTGCCATTTTTCATCCTGGCCCTTATCAAACCCTTCTGTCACTCGTCAGACGCATGCATACCTCACTGGCTGAACGCCCTCTTCCTTTGGTTAGGGTACGCCAACAGTTTCCTGAACCCCATCATCTACGCCAGGTTCAACAGGGAGTTCCGGAAACCCTTCCGTGAAATTTTGTTGTTCAGATGTCTCGGCATCAATCGCAGGCTGAGGTTCGACACGTATGCCGAGCAGTATGGACCAACCAGTCAGGATAGACTGTTCACGCAACAACACCAGCAACAACACCAGCAGCTGCAGCAGCAGCAACAACACCAGCAGCAACAACAACAACATAATTTATCGCAAACAACTCAACAGCCGATACAACAGTACAGGACGTCACATGCGCAAACTAGCAATAACAATAAAAGCAACAACAACAACAACAACAGAAAAAATAACAAAAACAGCAAAATAAACAACAATCGCGACAACAACAACGCCGACATTAACGAAAACAAAGGCAACATACAATACAAAAACGATGACGCCACAAACAACGATAGTGAAAAGTTGAAAGATGCCACAACAACAGAGCAACATCAACAACAGCAACACCAGCAACAACAAACATCTCCAACAGCTGCCATTACGATTATGAAATCGGCAGTTGTACATTACGAAAGCGTTCAAGACAGGGCCATAACCAAACTAGGAGACATCTATTCCAGACGAGACGACGGGCTAGACGAAGGCATTTTGGAAGTAAGCAAAGCGGAAGAAAACAAGCCGGAAGTAAACACGCCGGAAGTAAACAAACCGGAAGTAAACAAACCGGAAGTAAACAAATTAGATGACGTGGAAGATGGTACGTCTACTACTACTGATACGTGTAACGGTCTCATAAATAACGGTAATAATCTTTATAGCAATAATGATGAAGAACGCCCTGATAATGATAACGACGACGACGACGATGATGATGATGATAATAATAATGATGACGATGATAATGATGATGATGACGATGCTGAAACTTGCCTAAGAACACGCAACGATAGAAACCATGACGATGACGACGACGATGATGATGACGACGACGATGATGATGATGATAACGATGATGATGATGATGGCGGTGGTGATGATGATGGTCCTGGCGACGAATTCGATAAAATGAATAAAACTAACTGCAAAATGCGCCACTCGACATTGAAAAACATCAAAAAAACCACCAGCAGACCTGGGGATGATAGTGATGATGATGATGATGATGATGATGATGGTGGTGGTGGTGGTGGTGGTGGTGGTGGTGGTGGTGGTGGTGGTGGTGGTGATAACGATGCTCTCAATACTAAGAATGATGACGATGACGAAGTTGAAGTTTGCAATAGAAGTCATCCATAATTTTTTCCATTCATTCATTCGTTCGTTCGTTCGTTCGTTCGTTCATTCATTCATTCAATAAATCAATCAATCAATCAATCATTCTTAAATCTATTTCCTTTTTTCTTTCATTCTATCTTTCTTTCCATCTGTCTTTTGTAAAATATAAATTTCTGCCAATCGACAAATTCTTATTTGATCATTCGATAATTGAACTTCTATATATATAGGTATATATATATATATATATATATATATATATATATATATATATATACATATAAATAGATATAACATATAATGTTCAGCATGTTAATAAATATTTAACTTGCGTGTTTTGTTCGTTCGTTCGTTCGTTCGTACGTTCGTTCGTTCGTTTGTAATGTTACAGTTGTGTGTTTGTGTGTGGTAGTTTATATAAGAGTAAGTAGTGGTCCAAACTTGTTATCCGTTACCATGTATGATAATAATAATAATTTTATTATTATTACAAGTAATATGGTTTATATAATATAATAATAATAATAATTATTATTATTATTATTATCTTTATGTTTTTTCTTTAATATTTTTTTTAATATTACTATTTGTGATTTATTATTATTATTCTTCATTGGTTGGTTTTTTGTGTTTGTTAATGCTACGTCGATGATTGTAATGTTAATGTGATTTTGTTGTTGTTGTTGTTGTTGTTGTCGTTGTAGTTGTTGATGTCGTTGTAGTTAATGTCAGGTAATTATAAATGAATGAATCTTCCAAAGTATAGAGTTGTTTGCGACTAGCGCCACCTAAATTATGTATCGCTAGAGTGGCGACTGTGGTAGCAACCGATCGATCGTCGGTCACTTATTTATTCAATTAGACACGCGATCATTCAATCAGTTGTCGCCATCGTCATCATCATCATCATCGTCATCATTCATTACAGGATCGTCATCTTCATTAATGTCATCGTCATCGACTTAGAACCTTTTTTTAATTTAACCAGTAGTATGGTATGTTTGTTGCTGACGTTGCGGTTGTTGTTGTTGATGATGATGTTGTTGATGTTGTTGTTGTAGTTGTTGTTGCTGCTGTTGTGAGTTGCTGTCTGAGAAAAGTTATCAATCCAATCGATCGATTTTATTTAATATCTTCTACGATCTGCATTGTCTTAGCAATGTTTATGTTGTCATTTATGTTGATTTTTATATCTATGTATGTTGGATTGTTGACTTTTATATCTATGTTGGCTTTTATTTTATGTTTGTTGTTGTCTAACAATGTATCATTGTTGTAGTTGATGTTGTTCTGTTGTTGTTGTTGTTGTTGTTATCACCGGTTGTTAATCCACGGTGGTATCATCATCGTCCTCTTCTTCTCCATCATCATCATCATCATTATCAACATCCTCATCATCATCAACAACAACGTCATTATCATTATCAACAACGTCATTATCATTATCATCATCGTCATCATCATCATCATCATTGTCATAAAGTAACAGGCAGTTATAGTGGTAGTATTGTGTTATATTGTCATTGATTTTTTTGTCTTTTTGTATAACACGTTGCAATATTTGTTTGCAAAAGTCATCTGTTGTTGTTGTTATCGCTGTCGTTGTTGCTGCTGTTTTTGTGACTGCTGCTGTTGTTGTTGTGGTTGTTGTTGTGGTTGTTGTGGTTGTTGTTGTGGTTGTTGTGGTGGTTGTTGTGGTTGTTGTGGTGGTTGTTGTGGTTGTTGTTGTGGTTGTTGTTGTGGTTGTTGGGGTTGTTGTTGTGGTTGTTGTTGTGGTTGTTGTTGTGGTTGTTGTTGTTGTTTCAGATGTTTAAAAAAACCTGTTGTTGTTGTTGCTGTTTTGGATGTTTAAAAAAACCTGTATACATATCTTTTTTGGAGTTAAGAAAGGCTGATAAGATTTCATTATTGTTTTGTTAATGTGAATAATTACAATATTAACATTAATGACATTAACGAAAGCTTTAGAAACAATTTGTAGTTTTGTGGTCGTATATTTAAAGTTACTGCTTCAAATGTTTTACAAAATTTTACACACACACACAATACATACGCGCAAACATACGCACACATTCACACACACACACCCACACACACATATTCACACGCACAAACACATTCTCACGCACGCACGCACGCATACACACACAAGTACAAACTTATATATCATTAACAATTATCACATCCAGAAAAACTTTATGCCTTTGTTAAAAGCATACGCATTAATAGAATAAAACATAAAACAGTAAAACATCAAATGGCTCATTGAAACGACTCGCAATGACGTAAAACTAATTAACATAAAAATCGTTATCACGATCAACGATGACGTCAC